TCACTTGGTAGCCCAGGCTGGCCTCGAACTCACAGAGATCCGCCTGGCTCTGCCTCCCGAGTGCTGGGATTAAAGGCGTGCGCCACCACCGCCCGGCACACCCACTGAATTTACATTTACTTAATATAATACAAAATACCCAAAAATGTTTTGTAGACATTCTGATATAAATCTTTATTAGTAGCAACTATAATTCTGAAAATGCAACTTAAGTTATTCCAAATTTCAGATTTGTATTCTTGTGACAGAGTCAGTGAGGTGAAGGAAAGGTTATGCCTGGTGATGGAGAAGTGAGATTCCTGCACAGGTCTGGATGTTGCATGTCTGTGCTCCAATAAAGACTTCTTTAAGGCTAGGACCCTTTCTTTGCTTCTCAGATTCCAGAACCTGGGCATCATTACTTATGGTGCCATGACAAAAGCAAGATGTGTCACTAGCAGAATTAGTGTGAGAAGTAGATGAGAGTTAGCCATAGAGAAACTGACTGTAAATGTTGAGAAAAGAGTCCTTTTGGGAAACTGGTCACAGCAGAATAGCCAAGAACCTGTACCCCAACTAAGAGTCATCAAGTCCCTTACACTCTTATCTTTACTGGAGTGTATTAGCAGCAGAATCTGAATCTCAGGGTCGCAGGGGGAGTGCATTATGGGATTCTTCTGTAGCAGCCATGGTATGTCAGGCTCTGAGGCAGTGAGTTCTTGGGAGCCAGAAGCTGAGATAGATCTGGCTCTGGCAGCTCCCAGGAGGTCATGGGTATTTTCTAGCTGTGACAGCTGGAGCCTCTTTATGTAAATAATAAATTATCAATTTAAGTGTGTAGTAGAGTGAACTTTGAAAACATATGGAGTAAACATTACTCCAACCATGGCAGAGACTGTCTTTATCACACAAAGGCTCCCTTGGGCCTTCTTTGTAGTCTATTTCTTTATCTCTCTTCCCATTGGCAAGAAATGCTCTTCTACTTCCAATCATGGGGAGTGGGGGAAGCGCTGAGTAGTGAAGTTCTGAGTGAATGTTATTGACATTGCCATGTCAGGGAGCCTAGCCTCAGACCCATGGGAGTGGCAAAATCCCTTCTGTAACCAAACGTAGAGCTTTCCATCATATAAGCCTGATTATACCTGGTGGTCACTTCCCAAATTACCACACAGAAGCTTATATTAATTATAAATGTTTGGCCAATGGCTCAGGCTTTTTACTAACTAGCTCTTACATTTAAATTAATCCATTTCTATTAATTTATGTATCATCACATGGTCCATGGCTTACCAGTCCTTTGGCATCCTGTACCTTGGGCAGTTGGCTTGCATCTGCCCCAACTCTGCTCTTCTTTACCTCCAACTTTAGTTTGATTGTACTGCCTAATTTTATTCTGCCTCACCATTGGCAGAACAACTTTATTATCAACCAATGAGAGCAACACATATTCACAGCATACAGAAGGACAATCCCTCAGTATTTTCCTTTTTTTGTCTAATCAAAAAGGAAGGTTTTAACTTCATCATAGTGAAATTACATATAACAAAACAGTTACCAAGAAAGAACTACAGTTACAGTATCTAGTCTATTTGTGTTTGACAAAAATCAGAAAAAAACTCAATTATCTTATCTTGGTGAGTTTAAGGTTTTATATCTAGTTTACATTTTATCATAACTATGGGAAATTATAATTATAACTATCTAGTCTTCAACTATGTCAGGGACTCCAGAAGGATGTAATGTTACCTAATGACAGTGACATCAGGCTGTCTGGATAGTCACCCAAAGTTTTTCTCTAATGTTGGGGCATCCAACTTTGGCTTATAGACCTAGAATATTTGACAGACTTTTTTTTCAGAAGCAGGCAATTTTGAAGGACTGTCCTACCCTGTCTTGACAAAGTTCAGCAGTTGCTTTTCTTCATGTCCTGCTTGTCCAGATTGGACCGCATACTTACTGTTAGCAGTCAAGGCAAGGGCAGTTTCTTGCCCAATAGGCCAGTTTTGCCAAAAATAAAACAAACTCCTTATGGAGTGTCTTCAGTGTCCATCATCCTCTCAAGAGTAAATTGGTACTGCCAGGAGCAGACATGCCTCACTGTCAGGAAAAGCCTTATATTATTAAAACATTTTAAATGCCACATTCTGTAGGTCTTGGAAGTGTTTGAAGATTACTTATCTAATTGAAATATATCTTTATATACCTAGAAAACCTAACTAATGTAAGTTTGACTATTATAGATGACTAACTATTAATCTGTATTTTTAATTATACATTACATTCTTAAATGAGCTACATAAACACAATGCCTTAAACAAGAGTGGAAATATACATACAGTATAACAAAACTGACTTTAAATTTGTATCAATAAACCAAAACCCATCCCAATGTATAATATTTTGAGGTTAACAGTTGTTTTTTGGATTAAAGTAGATTCAATAATCTACCCTTTTTTCTATCACAATAATCTATTCTTTTTCCCATCATTTCCATGTCAGATCCCCCTTTCTTCTTTAGAAAGAGATTGACTATGATCAATAACAATTTATAACCAATCCCCTAAACAAAGACAAACATCCATAATCTTTTTTTGGGACCATGAACATAGTTCTCTAGACTACTTCCTGTTGGTTGGTGGGCACTGGTAATCTTTTTGGGACCATGAGAAAATTTAAGATAATTGTTAAGTCTTGGCTGTAGTATTTTGTGAGGCTGGATCATCTTAGCCAGTGGTCTTGAAGCTGTTCTGGATGCTGGATCATTTGGACCATTGCTTTCATTGGTGCCTAGTCTCCTTGATCTGAAAATATATAAACTTTTAAAGGTTACATACATCTCTGTATTAATAAAAATATAAACTGTGCATTGAACATAAGCCAGTAAATGATAATTTTTTTAAATGTCTGAGCAGGTAAAATATACATTATATATCTTGAAGTTACTTTAGGTTTATTTTCCCGTGTCTGTAGTCAGGATTTCAGGGGGTCTTCCTCAATCAAACTTGATTTTCCTTAACCCAGAGGGAATCTATAGCCTTTCATTTCCTGTGGAAATAAAAACATAACCTCTACTTCAAAGTAACACACTTTTTGACTTAAATTTTGGAGTCAAGATATTTTTAAAATATATAGGTTGGTTTAATTCAGGACCTTTTTTTTTTTTTTTTTTTTTTTTTTTTTTGGTTTTTCAAGACAGAGTTTTTCTCCATGTAGCTTTGGTGCCTATCCTGGATCTCACTCTGAAAACCAAGTGACTTTGAACTCATAAAGATATGCCTGGCTCTGCCTTCCAAGTACTGAGATTAAAGGCATACACCATTAAAGCCCGGCACTAATGCAGTACCTTTTTTAATAAAATGTCTCTCAACAGTTAGCTCATTAACAGTCAAAATATCCAAAGCAAACACAACATACATAATCCAGACTCTCTGTGTATTTTCCATCCTCACATGGTTCATTTCCTTTATATTACTTTACTCTCTTTTCTAAGGACTTTTATTTTATTATTTTAAATCTATATTTTTAATCTAAGGTTTTATATATATTTCTCTTCTCTCTTTCAAGCCTACACACATCTTTAAAACATACTGTGACTTGTTTAGAGAACTTTTTGTCTGAATCTGTCCTTATTGTGTATCTCTAACCCTTTTTGTCTGTATGACCAGAAACCCTAAATCCACCATGCAGCATGCTTGTACTGTGGCTCATATAAGACTGCTGAAACCCACCATACTGTAGCTCAAGCCCACATGCCACAGCATCCCTGTGCCATGGCCTGCATGAAAGACACAACTAGGAAACTGTTATTGGCTCTATTTTTGTGTTCTAGAACCCCCCCCCCCTTTTAAAGCTTTCTCAGGCTTTATGTGGATGTATGTGCAGCATATTGGAACACCATATGTAACCAGACACAGATCTTTCTGTCCCATATTCCTGATTATACCTGCTGGTCACTTCCCAAATTACCACGCAGAGGCTTATATTAATTATAAATGTTTGGCCAATGGCTCAGGCTTATTACTAACTAGCTCTTACATTTAAATTAACCCATTTCTATTAATCTATGCATTGCCACATGGCCCATAGCTTACTGGTCCTTGGGCAGCTGACTTGCATCTTCTCCAACTCTGCCCTTCTTCATCTCTATCTTTAGTTTGATTGTACTGCCTAACCTCATTCTGCCTTACCATTGACCAAACAGCTTTATTATCAACCAATGAGCAACACATATTCACAGCATAT